TCCATGCTTTTGATAAAAAAAAGAAAATTACTATTATTATTATACTATAAAAAATTAGTTTATGTTCTTGCAACACTGGCTAGTAAATTTAATATAATTTTATAATTTAATATACGAGTATACAAATGTAGAGGTTTATATGTATGATAGAGCACGTTAAGTCCCTAGGGGGACATATCGCTTTAATTTGAAATAAACAAAAGAAGAATGTAGAAAGAGCGATTAACAATTATTGTGAAATATAAATCAAATTATGGGTATTTAACTTGGTTTAAAACCCTTTCAATATACCTTATACCTTAAATATATGAGTCACATGTAACCATATTAAAATAAAAAATTCTTAATTGATAGTCTATATTATAAATTTCACGATTTATATTATATATTAAAATAAAAGAAGACATATCCTGACCAGGCTCACATGAACATTTCTAGATGGCATCTACTGTGTAGTGGAAAAAAAAATCTAAACGTTTATTTAACTTGTTCCATGATATTTGGCCAGCCCAATTTCTTGATAAATCAAGAAAAGTCAATATTTCATAATATATATAATTATTTAATAATAATTTAAATAAACAAACATATATATTTTCAAAACAGATTAATTCGACATAAAATGTGTTGAACATTGTCTTGGTTTAGTACAGGGGCATATATTACTAGAACATTTAGTAGCAAGCACTAATGGCTCCTTATAGTTCCATTATCTGTTCGTCTGCTTTATTTGCTACACCGTTGCCGAATTAATAGATGTTTTCTTATATTTGCCAGACTCTTATTTCACAGAGAATAATTCTAATATTACAGAAAATCATTTCATCACTATTTTCCTATAAATATTTAACTTTTAGGATTTTTTTCTTTAATTAATACATACTTAAAATGCATTCAATAAGTGCATCAATTTATTCTAAAGTTATATATATATAATGCCCTTATGTATAAAAAAAAATCTAAATAAATTTAATTGGTAAAAAGTAACATTCAAGAGAGTTTTCAATTTAATTAAAAGTTTAATAAGTATTTTTTTATTCTCTAATTTTATCTACTATTTCAGTAACTTCCTTTTCATTTTTTTGTTTACTCTTTTTTTTCTCTCAAATTGCCAATTTAAATAAATGAATTTATAGCGTAAATTATTTTTCTATATAAAATATAGTTTTTTTATCTAATCCTTTAATCAATCAAAAGTAAATAAGATTTAAAAAAAAGAAATCATTTAAATTTGTTTTAGGGAGAAACTTTCATTTTGGAAAAGTAAAAAAAATCAATATATGAAATATGTAAATGACTTTTTTCATAACTGTTGTTGAAAAAGACCTAAACTCTCTCGATTTTTGTGAATAAATTTCATCACAGATGTGCCAATCTGTTGATAACATTTCTAGATCCTGGAAGTTCGGCTGAATCTATTTACTGGTAATAAGAAAATCTAACGAAATTTCTATATTTTTCTAAATAGAGGTAAAATACATTTTTTCTTTAAATCAAAAGATTCTCGCGTGCGTTCATTCATATTTAGTATATGCATTCAATGATTAATTGTTTTATACTATTATTTAATACCTTTTTAATAAACATCAATTTGATATTTGAAGAGATTTTATACGGGGTGTTTTAGTACAAATAAATATATATCAAAGTAATATTACAAAGAGTTAAAAATATATTATAAAATGTAATTTTAATTTCTTTATATATTAAACTAAATCAAAAGATATGGTTGTGTATTAATAAAAGAGTATTTTAATAAATATTAGTAATTGATGATATACAAATATTATTATAGCTAATATAAGCCCATATTTTCTTTTATCCACTCACAATATAAGCCCTTTCTCATATACAATTTTGAAATATAAAGGATACACTTGCAATAAAATTCTTCCGAACTATCATTAGTCCATGGCTGTACAGATAGAGAATGTTGCCTTTCGTACTTAGATATCGAAATCTTTTCTTCAAATGCTTTTAAAAACATACTTGGGTTGAGGAACCTATGGAATATGCAAAGTCATCCAATTGTTAAATTCCCAAATAATTATTCTTTTCCAAGATAAAGACAGCAGTTATGTTGTTGAACGTTGTCTTTCTGAGAGAATGGGATTATGCTTTTTTCTTAATTCGAAGTTGCAATATTTTCATTCAAATATCAACATATATTGTATAATAACAATTTTTGAGCATGTACATTGAGAATTGAAGTATTCGACGATATTATTTTCATAAATATCAAGAACAATTGGTGATCTGAAGCTCGTATAAAAAGTCCTTTATATTGAAAAATAAATAGCATTGAATATCTCCACTCTAAAGTTACAAAGTTCGTTATTTATTAATTTACTCACACTCAATGACAAAAACTGATGGAAATTTTACCTTTTAGCAGTTATATATTTTGATTTGTTATTAATATATTTAAGAGAATATTCGAATTTACATGTATGGAAATGCCGCCGTTATATAAGCAAATAAGGAGAGTGGTTTATGCTTAAAACATGAAACTTCCTTAAGTTTTGTCCAAGAGTGTTTTTTGGATCTTTATTGAAGTTGGAAAGTGTGTGATAGACAAGGGCCTATCATTAGTGTCTAAACAGTAAAAATCTGGATGAAACTCTTTGTTTCTTTTCTGTAAGAGAGAAAATATTCCTGAAATAATTTAAAAAGAGAACACAAACGACACACAATGTCGTTAATTATAGTTTAATTAGATAGCGTTAATTTTCACACATTCTTTAATTACATTTCGCGTTGGAATTTCGAGTTAATTTTACATTACCAACTCGAAAAAAAGTTTGCATTCCCTTATTGTATTTAATTACCTCAATTTTTTGTACATTCTCTTTGAAGAATTTTTCTATAGTATATAGGAGCCCACTAAACATAGATATATATATGAACCTTTAGAAAGGCGGTGAAATTGTTTTAATACCCTACAGAAATATGCACATCTTTTTACAACAATCAGATACCTACTACTAAGAGTGCTCGAAATGTCAATATGTAGTGTAAAACCTGTAGTTACGCTAGGTTATTTCATTATTGTGTCCACAATACTAACATTTGAAAATATCAGTAAATTTCCTTTTCTTTCTGGAAAGCCCTGCCTAGCTCAATATATAACTGCAGTTAAACAATGAACTAAAGGTATTTTAAATAATTATTTCATCATTTTTCACTCATGTTGTACATTGAATTGGGAAAAGGTGTCCTCGAATGCTTATATTTTATCAAGGGAAAGTTATGATATAGAATAACATCTTTTGCTTTGATAAAAATCATAAACATCAAGCGAAGTATATGCATATATTAGCATTAGAAATATGCAAACAAATATAGATGCAACCGCTCACACTCTGCGTAGACCAATAACCTTCCTAGGAATCATCTCTCACTCAATCTACCGTAGATAATGTTTGGCCATCAGGATCTCCTGATTTAACTACTCCATTCCCAATTAATGGTATAGTCAACAAAAACAACCCACAGCTATTTACGGAAATCAAGATTTTAATTACTCCCTACATGGAAAAGGTCTTACTTCCAACACCCTCCAGAAGTCTTGGGTAATTTGCAGCGTCATGTAGGATCATCTCTTTGGGAGATATTTCCCCACCGTATTTATATAACTAATATATTTATTCAAGTAAAAATATGATTTCTCGAATATTTTTAGAATATTTTAAATACACATTAGATATTCAAACATTATTCCCCGAGAGGAAGCAAAATATTTCCAAATTATTAATTTATAAAACACTTTGTATATATATAGTAATGAATACACACACACTAACATAGAAATTCATTTATAAAATAAATAGTTTATCCTGTTTCTATTTCAAAGGTTCATACCGCCGGCCACCGACTGAAATAGTTTATTTTATATATGTATAAGACTAAAAATAAAAAAGGCATATCCTGACCAGGAGCACATGTGCTTTATAGATTGCAGAGCGCCATCTAGTGGAACAGAAATCAACTAAACATTGATTTAGCCTGTTCCTTGATATTTGGCCAACCCAATTTCTTGATAAATCAAGAAAAGTCATCCACGAAAGCGTTATCGCTGTTGGCGCTCGTTATTAGACTATATATTAAAATATTCTTAAATTTATTTAAAATTGTAATTGAAACAATGTAACTGTTTTACCGAATATCTTCCAATATTTTAAACATATTTACACTTTAGAGCTTTATTTCTAGTTTTAATTTGTGTAATTTGACTGTTTTATAAATAATATATATTTTCATCACATTAAAAATAGTTAGATAATTATTATAATATATATTAAAATTTAAATATTGATTGCTCAATATTTTATAAAAATATTGTTTAATATGTAAATTTAAATAATATTTTCACTCTTCAATACACGAGAAATGATTTCAATATCATTTTGGAAATATGTATATAAAATAGTTCGTGAACACTTACATGCAGACATTTATACAGAATATAGCGTGCGTTCTGTAATAGAGAAATAAATACATTACTCTCAGGGGACCTGATACCTTTTGAGTTTTAAATGATAGAGACATGTTTTATTTGTAAAATTATGTTTTCGATATGCTAATTAAAATTTTAAATTACGGTTTTCTCCATACATATATCTTCACATTTTTTATTATACACTCATGGACAAAACTCAAAGAATTTGGTAGCCCTTTTTTATGAGATAGATGTAATTTTGTTCACATTTGATTATCTCGTGTGTTTTCAATAAAGGTCACTGTAATATATTTCAGAATTATTGTCTGAATCCGTTATACATGTTAAAATAACACTTAAAGTTTCACCGCATAAGTTTCTTTTCTGTGAAAAATCAATATTTATTTCAAAGAAAAATATTTACTATTTCTAACTTTTTTGGATGAAGTATAAAAGGGTGAAAATATGAAGAGTAATGGCGAACGGAAAAATAAAAGTGTCCAGGGGCGGGAATCGAACCCACAAGTATTATTTAAGTATTATTTACGAACGGAAAAATACGTCCAGGGTAGCCTAGTGGACATGGCATCTGCCAGGTAAGCGGAACGTTGTGGGTTCGATTCCCGCCCCTGGACACTTTTATTTTTCCGTTCGCCATTACTCTTCATATTTTCACCCTTTCATACTTCATCCAAAAAAGTTAGAAATAGTAAATATTTCTCTTTGAAATAATTTTTTTTTTTTCACAGAAAAGAAACTTATGCGGTGAAACTTTAAGTGTTGTTTTATAATCATACGCCGCAGTCCTTTATAATGTATTACATGTTAAAATGTAAAATTTCCTTTAAGTTTTGACCAGGAGTGTGTGTTTTTGCACAAGGTTGCGGTTGGACAGTTTCATCGTCCTTAATTTTCTATTTTCACTTTTGTTGACAGTATTTCTAGAGTGAGTTCTAACCATTGTATCGAATTGATTAAATGGATTCTCAAGTGATTGCTTCTAAATATCTATCATTTATTTCTTATATTTTAAAAAGCACAATTACAAATGGTTGTAACCAGTAAAAATATCATAAATATATTTACAAATATTATGAGTATATATTTATATGATGAATATAGTACACAATTTGTAAAAATAAATTAAAATTCAAAAGAAATTTCACAAATAATGAACTTATATTTGGAAATAAATTGAAAGGAGCGCATCAACGATGATGCAGCAATAATAAATCATTTATTGAAATCGATAATCTTTGGGCAATAATATTATACAACATTATTGCTATGTAAATACAATTGTGTTTTATATATTTTTTCTAAAGCATGCATTTATATTCCCGAAGTTATTTACTTTTGCTTATTTAAAAAAAAAATATTAGTCATAAACATATAAAGCATGTATTTGTATTCTCGATGTTTTCGGCTACATGAACTCAGTAGAATTCAGTTTAAATATATACGGATAAAATATTACATGAGGAGCTTCTTTTTAATCTTTTATCCGTATTTATTCTCGAAGTTATTTACTTTTTCATCTATTTTGTTTTAAATATTAGTCAGCCTATGGATAAACTTTATTTATCTGTGAATAAAAAAAACAATAAAGATCTAACGGGAAAAAAACAGAGAACTGCACACAGTCTGGAGTTGATAGTTTTCACCACATTCGCCGTCCTACAGTGTTGCGGGGTAAAAAAATGACAATCAATCATCATAGAATGGATATTAAATCACAATTTTCCTTTCAAAGATCATTTTTTAAATGTTTGATGAAGATAGATTATTCAAGGTTTATTTTATAGACCTTACTAAGTAGGTTTCCTTGGATATTTTGAAAAAAATAGTCATTATAAACTTTGATTAATACCTAAATATATTTTATAGCTAAAATCTTGTGTGTGGTTTTCCTTTGTTTGTATAAAATACCTACTTTATATTTATATTTAAATTAGGTTATTTTTTATAAATCTTATCAACTAAATAGTAAAACGCTTGAAAATAAATTCGCATTCTTATAAAAGAGTAAATTTTGATCTCGAGAGTGTACCTAATTTTACTCTGTTTTTTATATATAATACTATATAAAATCACGTGTTTACCATTGTTTATATATCATTATAAGCACTTTGTAATAGCACGTGTTTATTATTTATGGTTTATAATTTTTGGCGCTGTAACAGCACGTGTTTATTATTGTTTTTCATTAAAACTTTGGTGTGTGTTTTATTCAAACCAGTTTTATGTGCTTTATAATTATATATATATCTTATATTTTAGCCAAATATCACGGAGCAAGTTGAATAAACGTTAGTTTATTTTTGCACCACTACATGGCGCTCTGCTATCTAAAAAGCACATGTGCTTGTGGTCAGGATATGCCTTCTTTATTTTTAATATATATATAATTAAAATCAAAAAAGGCATATCTTGACCACGTTCACATGAACATTTTGATGGCAGAGCGCCTACTGGTTGACTTTTCTTGGTTTTATCAAGAATATGGGTTGGCCAAATATCAGGGAACATGTTATATCAACGTTTAGTTGATTTCTTTTCCACCAGATGGCGCTCTGCTATTAAAAGGTTTATGTGAACATAGTCAAAATATTTCTTTTTTTATTTTAATAACAAACACCTGACCTTTTTTATTATTTTATTATTTTTATTATTTTTATTATTTTTTATATATATTCATATTGATTGATATTCATAATAATTATGTTAAATATGCAAACGTTGGTACACTTAAAAACAACTATGTAAATAGGGATACATATAAACCGTCAAAAATACGTTTGTAAAGCAATGCTCAATTTTTTTTTTTTTGCTGACAAAGACAAAATATATTTGTCGAAACGTTGAAAATAAAAACTTTCTAACCTAAATGTATTTTATTTTAAAGAATCATGAATGCTAGACAGGCACTCTTCATCGGTATTTTAATAAAATAGTCAATATTTAAAAGATGTTGGTCATAAAGGTACAGCCTGCACAGCCGAGAGCCAACAGCTCGAAACGGGTACGTGGTTGAACTTTCTTGATTTAACAAAAAATTGGGTTGGCTAAATATCATGGAGCAAGTTTAATCAACATTTAGTCGATTTTTGTTTTATCAGATTGCGTTCTACCATTTAAAATGCCAATGCGTGCGGTCAATATATGCCTTTTTGTTATTAATATAAATATATAAAGAAAATAACTTATATAAAACCTTTTAACTTGTGAAAAATAGTACAAACGTGAATTTATACTTGGATCAGGTGGATAAATTAAGAAAAAAAGGCATTTCCTGATCGTGTAACTGAAAGTTGCTGATGGTTTGCGCCATCTATCGGAATAAATATCAACTAATCGTTGATTTTTAATTATTCCAGAATTGGCCAAATACCGTTTCTTGATTAATCAAGAAAAACTAACCACGTACGCTTTTCGGGCTGTTGGCTCTCGTCAGCGTGGTAGAAGCTGTACCTCAACGACCAAAAAGGCTGGTCTTTGGGGCATCCTGAAAAACCATGAAACATGTATTCAATTACTTTTAAGACTATAACTGTGTCTGTATGAAAAAGGAATATTTCTCAATAAACATTCACTAATATTCGGATGAAAGATAAATAGCTTATACAACGTCAGTTTCCCCTTTTTGCCCAAGGCAACAGAATATATAGTTCGTCTCTATTTTGAAATGAATATATAATTTATTTAGGATAAAATATTTAAATATAAATTTCATATAAAGCCTATTTGCTCTCCTATCATATTTACGCCTTAAATTGGTTTACTCTATAAACACAAGTACAGTTTTATATTGCTATATTAAAATAAATTCATAACTTGTAGATACAAGGGTTGATCAATAGTTAACGTACCTATAGAAAAATATGCAAATAATATTCCATGTTAAAAATAATAATTCCTCATATTTTCATATCTGCAAACATAATTAAATTATTATGATGCATTAGCGCGCCATCTGTTATCAAAATACGAAACTATTATAGAGCCAAGCCCTCCCATTAATTTTTCCATTGCAGTAAGGGCAGTAGAAATTGTTTTATTTTTTAAAGAATCGTACGCGTCTATAATAGTTTCGTATTTTGATAATTTAAGATATATTTATTCATTGTAAAGATAGAGGTTGCCTGGCCTGTATTCATAGTTCTTTTCAAAATAGACACTTCGGCAAGTTAAAGTTTTATTTTTCTCTTTTTTTTTTTCTTTAACTATCCGAAGTGTTCAATTTTTAAAAGAAATATATTTATTCAAATATGAAGACTAAAATAAACTTAAGAATCCGACAACGGTAGGTAATGGAGTTCTTGTTTAAATCCGGAGACATTTCAGTCACACTGTGATACACTCGACTCTAACGAAACAATAGTTAAAAGATATTACCCGGTTTCAACGCCTTCTTACTGGTTATTTTGGTATTAGTGTTAAACTAATAACTTTTTAATAATATATGATAATAAGATTCACTGGCCGAAGTATCCTTTATTTGAAGAACTATGAATGCCGGCCAGGCAGCCTCTTACATTAGTCATGCGATATATTTTCACATGTTTAATCGTTCCTAAGGTCAAAGAAAAGGGGCTGAGAAACACTGCTGTTATCCATTTATATTTTTAGAAAAGTATTTTAGATATATTAATTAGCATTTTAATATGTTTATAAAGGTTTTTAATAAGATTAAAATGGAATACATTGCTAGAAAAACCATATAAAACAATTATCTCTTTTAAATAATTGAATTTTCAATATCTCATTAACTATATATATATTCTATTTAATTTTTAAGAGGATTTTTTACATCAATAATATATCAAGTCATGAAAATGTTAAGTAATCAAATTTATCAAAATATTCTGTGAATAAAATAAATTAATATATGAATTAATTGCTTATATATATTAAGAATATTTGGTAAGAAAAAGAAATAAATATATATTACAAATATTTTTATATATTAAAATATATAGTGCCCCTCTTTTAAATATCTTTCTATAAATTCTGAATGTGTAGAGAATTTGAAAAGAGCGCAAAAAGATTTTCAATCGACCTCAAAAAGACTTTGACTGTATTATTAAACATGCCTTCTCTTTCGACACAAAATTGGACAATTTCATAATTGGAGAACACAGTAAAACATCAAGACCTTTTAGGATACACATATGTCGAATGGAAAAGTGCGTACGAAAAAGTTCAATAGTTAGAAAAAGTCAAAATAGGGGAAAGCTAAGCTAGAGAGAGAGGTATTAATTAAATTAAGTTAGGTTAGGTCAGGTAGAAAAAGTGGAAGATAAACAGTTGGTTTTGTTGACCGAGAGTTAGTTAGCAAAGAAGATCAATACAGGGAGAGAAATCCAGGGGAATAATGGCTAATTAAGCCTTCCTCTGGGGAAACCTATTGGTTTTCTAATAGTTAAGCTAATCAGAGGTGTAAAGACACTCGTGATGGTCAAGATATATGATAGTCATACGCTGGTTAAGATGGAATTGTTTCACAAACAATAATGAATATCCATCAACCGTTGTTATTTCCCAATACTTATTCTCACCTTCCTTAGAGGAATGATATTCTGATTAAATACACGATTTTCTAAAATACATGTGAAGAATCAAATATTGCTTTGAC